TTGATTTGTATTCACCTAAGCACACAAAGGGCACTGACTTTGGCTTCTGATTCAAGACAGACTCAATTCTGTTGTTTGGGATGGATTACTTCCCTCTTAGCTTTTGTTCTGTGATATGTACATCTATAATGATTCAAGCATTAGAATACAAACTCAAAGTAAACTTGATAATAGACAAAGTAATACATGTGACTGATGGCAAGCTGGGGATAGTCTTCCTTTTCCTTTAATTGCCTTTTACTTCAAACATTCATATACATATTTTTATTATAAACACTTTCAAAAAGCAATATCAGATCTATTTGGTAGAGTTATAATTTCTTGAGCTAAAATGTTTTTTTGGTAAACTTTCTAGATATATACAAGTGTAATAATTCATTTGTGCTATGTTCCTTTTCAGATATTGTACAAACCAAATAAAGAACTCTGTGTTTAGTGGCAATATATTTCAGGACCTACACTTTGAGAGTCAGAGGACACAACAAACTCCTCAGGGGTCCAGTTTTCTTCTTTAGGAAAAAATAGTAAGGGTTAAAAGCTTCTCCCTATGTAATATAAATAATATTGAAGACTGAAAGTACATGTGAAATTTAACATTAACCCTAAGTCACAAAGTTATAATAATTAAGTGACAATAAGATATGCTATCAGCTTCCTCAAAATCAAAACTGTAATATTATGCACCATTTCCAAGAAATCCTTTTTTAAAATAAAAATAATCTTTAGGTGTAATGAACAACTCCCCCACACCATTCCCCCATAGTCCTTTGTTTACTCTTCTCATTCCCATTAACTTCTTTTGTTCTAGAAAATTTCAATTCCTTTTTCACCTAGTTTATCCATATAGAATATTATGTGACTATATAAACTTTAGGAGACACATGAGAGAAAACATTTATCTTATTCAGACTGGCCTTAGTGACTTAACATAACGGTCTCACTTGCATCAATTTTCTCCCAAATGATGCAGATTCATTCTTTATGGCTTAATGAATTCTATTTTATGTGTAAATCATATTTTATTAATTTCTCAGTTGTTGGAGACCTATATTGGCTTTATAACTTAGTTATTATGAAGAGTGTTGCAATAGTCATGATCTCTATCATGTGTTGACTTGGTGTTCTTTGAGTAAATACTCAGGAGTGGTGTAGATATTTCATAGTTTATGTTTTGTTCCTTTTCAAATACTGTGTAAATCAAATAAAGAGCTCTGGATTTGGAGGTAGTACATTTTAGGACCTATGTGTTGAGAGACAAAGGACACATCTGCATACTGAGATGGGGAAATAGTTTTCTAATAAGTTTTGGTGATATTGATGAGGTAATCACAAGACTTGAATATGTAACTTAACAAAGAAAAAGAATCAGTAAAGAAAACCCAAACTGAAATAAAATAAATGAAAAACTCAGATGTCAAACAGAAACTCAGGGCTAAGCCTAAACATACTAAAGGACATGGAAGACAGAACTTCAGGTTTGATGACAAGGTAGGAAAATAGATCAGTAAAAGAAAATGTTAGATCTAAAAAAATAAAGGCACAAAACATTCTGAAAACTTGGGATATTATAAAAAGTTTAAACTTATGAGTAATAGGGGTAGAGGAAGTAGAAGATACTTAGGTCAAATGCACAAATTTTTTTTTCTGACAAAGTCATAGAAGAAAATTTTCCATATATATATATATATACTAGATATAAGCGGCACAGAGAATATGAAGCAGAAGGAGTAGCAGATAAATTCTCCATGTCACAAAATCAAAACATTGAATGTACAGAATAGAGAAAGGGAAAAAGACCAAAGTCACATAAAATGGCCCATTAGAATAATACCTTACTTTTCAATGTGGACTGTAATAGCCAGAAGGGCCTGGACAGATGTTCTACAGGTTCTGAGAGATCACAAACATGACCATACTATTATACCCTGAAAAATATCAATCACAATTAATGAGTAAGGAAAAACATTTCACAATAAAAACAAATGTAGGCAATTTGTGTCCACTAATTCAGCTCTACAGAAGGCAGTAGAAGAAACACTTTAGACTCCAGAGGAGGCTAACTACATTCAAGAAGAATAAAAAATATCAAAGAATATAATCCACATCAAAATTCCAACATGGCTCTTCACATAAATTGAAAAACCATCTGTAATTTCTAACAGAAATGTAAAAGCCCAGGATAGTTAAAACAATTCTGAATAATACAAGAACTTCTAGAGGTACCACCATCTAAGATTTCAAATTGTATTGCAGGACTGTGGTAATAAATACGACACATGATAAATAGAATGGAATTGAAGACCTAGACATAATTCCATACACCTTCAGACACCTAATTTTTTCCAACTTTTTTATTTGAATTAGAAACAGGATTGTTTTACATGACAATTCCAGTTCCCTTCTCCC